TCAGAGAAGTTGGAACGACTTCACTTCCGGTCTTAATGTTGCTCTTTTGCTCGCTCTCCTCCTTGGAGAAAAAAGAAGCGCTGCACAATTGAAAGAGCTCCTTTATTCTGTGAAGTTCACGTCTTGAACCTGATGTTCTTTCCGAACGAAAAACCTAGAGTTCTAAGAGAGTCGCAGAGAAGTTTTGATCATCAACGAAAAAAAAGCGAGAAAAAAAAGGGAAAATTCAGTGTTTTATTCTGAGCAGTTGGCCACAAATTGACGCGTTCGCAGCCCACTTTTTGAGCACAAATTCGGACTTGCCTGCGAGAAAATACATAAACACCGCGGAGATTAGGCCATGGCTACTTCCCCTAATGAAAGTGCTTGCCCAAAAAGTGCTAAGAGCTCTAATACGGGCCGGAAACGGAAATAACACTCTTACAAAATTCAGCACCTGGGAATGAGTTCTAGCAGTTTTGATCGAACGATATTTTCACAAACATGAAAACGCAAATTGATTCATTCGGTAGTTTAAAAAGTTCTAAAGATGTTTCGGCATCCGGGAAATCAGTCATCTTTTTTTATTGGTTTAGGAAAAAGAAGTGGACGCTTGTGGGCGGATCTTTGTGATCTGTATCCTCATATTTGTAGAAGGAAAGGTTATTTAATTACCTCTTTTTGAATGACGCTCAAAAAAAACATCATAGCGGAACCTCTAAGAAAGTAACTTGATATGCTTGTCATGGGATTATTTTTGATAGAACAAAGCTGCTTGAGAAAAACACCCAAGATTGGCAATTCCCAGAAAAAAAAAAATCGAAACCATGCCTAATGTTTTTGACATAGTTTCGCAGTGGTTTTTGGAGTCAGGAAGAGATTTTTCTGCGGAAGTCGTCATAATTTCCGTGAACAGAAACACATTTCTCACTTTCGACGTTTTTTTTGGAAAGATTATCCCGAAAAGCACTTCTCACAGTCTGGGAATTACAGCAAGAACTTCAAAAATAGTCGAAAAATTTTTTCGAACAAATTTTTTGTTAGACTTTGACATCTCAACAGCTCTCGAGCGACCTTTCATTCGGGTACAAAAATGAGAATTTTTTGTCATTGAAAAATAAATACACAGAACAAACGCCAAAAGTCTTGAGTTTATCGAGATGTATACTTCAAAACTGAGATCGAGTTGTTTGAATGGCCCAACGGGAGGTTCACTGGTGTTGTGTCAGAGAAAGAAAAAAAAATGCAACCACAACAAATTTAATTTTTTTTTTCGCCGTGTTCTCTCACTCCAACTTTCCATAAAGCCATCCCGAGTTCAGAACCGCTGCCTCGAAATTTATGTGGCCTTTTGAAATGGTCTAGGACGTACTAAGGAAGTATTTTTGCCCTGCTATAATTTACTTTTGCCATCGTTTCGCGGAAAGACGTAAAGGTTTTAGAAGCGGAAGCAGAATGAGAAGAAAAAACAAGATTTACATCTTGCTGAGAAAACATTTGTGGAGAGAAGAAAGTAGTTGAAATATGTATAGATTTGTTCCGAAACGTTTTTTTACCTTTCATCTCCGTAAAATGCGACAAACGATGTTTTGAATCAGCAAGTTGACGTGTTTTCGAGAAAATTAGTCTTGCACATCAAGAGGCAACTTAACAACCTCATCAGAAATTTTTCGGCTGAGCCGTTGGGATTGAATAGCGCTAGACAAAAAGAAAGAATGAGATGAAAATTCACTAAGAATGGTAGATTCAGAAAAAGTGCAATAATGGTAAATGCTCTGTGAAGGGACTGCTTAAAGCTGAAAAGGCGAAAAGTTGCGGCGGTATCGATTTACAGCGGCTTTCAAAGCTTCTGTTCAGAAGTTGATCGTGGGCGCAACTTCGTTTCCCACTTCTTTCACTTGGACAAATTCCGAGCATCCCTCATCTTTAAAACTCGGCACTATGGAAAGCGTTGACCTGCGTAAACAGACTTGAGAAGAAATGTGACAAGTTATAGAGATTTATGATTATCAGTGTATCAAACTCGAAAACTGCAATCGCTTACTCAGCAGCTGAAATTCACAGGATATCGTGTTGTTCTGAAAGAATCTTCTCCATAAACGACTGTTAATTCTTTTCTGTTCAGCCTAATTTAATATTAGGAAGCCTGGGTGTGTTTCTAACCGCATTAGGCAATTCTGACTAGAAGAAACAAGAGAAAATATATATCCTTGTATAACTGCGTCATTCAATTTTTTATTCTTCTATTTTAGATAGTCCGATTGAGTACGTGTGATGTCAACTGATTCCACGATTTTCCGATTTGTCTACAGAAACGGCGTGATCACTGGGTTTTGACCTCAAAGCTGTCAAGTCAGAAATTGAGAATTTAGATAGAAAAACCGAGACTAACTTCAGCAATCTGTAGTTCAAGCTTTTCCAAATATTCTGAGACATTTTTGTTCATAAAAAGCAGAAACGCCTCTTAAAGTTAGATCTTGATTATTTTCAAGCCAACTTTCGAATTAACATTTTTTTTTTCAGAAGTTTGTATTCGTTATATCACTCGAAAAATGAGCGAAGAACACATTTTTCGTAAAAAAAAATGGATACGAAGAAACGCGAGTCATAGAAAAGATGTGGATAGTTCACGAGAAAATTTTAAAAATATCCAAAAAAGATATTTATTTTATGCATGAAAGTTTGATTTTTTTCATATTTCGATAAAGTTCATCAACATTTATTTTCGCATGGTTGAATTTTTTTTTTGCAAGTTTGATGAATCCGAAAATGCTTGCTCTTTTTTAGAAGAACGATAAATTGTCACGATTATTAATAAACCTGAGAACGACCACTCTTCTTGAGTCTCATGAGATTTATCCAAGCTACTTTTGAAAGGCAAGCAAGGATTTAGTACAGACTCAAACCTTTTGCTGAGCTTCTGAAAATGGTCAAACTTCACTCATTTCTGGGAGTTTCTGCAAATTGGCCAGAGAGGTCGAGGAAGTTCTGTTTGCCTTGTAAAAGTTGGGGGCGAAGCGTCTCGAGGATGCTCCGTACACACAGTGTTGCGTGGGCCGCCGAGAACGAAATCCGATTTGAACGGCGCCGTGTTTCCCGAAAACGCTTTTAAATTCGACCGCGCCCTGGACCGTCTCATTTTTCAGCGCCAACAGCTCCTTTTTTCTGGCATTTCGTAACTAAATATCATCTTTTTCCTCTTGGTTTTGTAGTTTCCTGTCTTTTTTTCAAGTCTACGAAGGAATTCTCCCTACCATAGGGACCGCAGACGAATTTTCAAAAAAATTTTTTTCGAACTTCAATATTACTATGGTTGGATAGCTGCTCTAATTTACTATTCAAAAACAGTTTAGTTTTTTTCAAAAAAAGGTTGAGAAAAAGTTATGGTCAAAACAGTAGTGAAAAAAAGTCGCGAAATTTAGTACTGAAAGTTTAGATTTTTACACTTTTTGGTCGTTCATTTTGTTTTCATATCGGATTTAAATTTTTTTAGTAGTTTAGTTTGGTTTTCAAAGTCGTAATAAGTCATTAAAAACAGTATAAAACCACAAGTTTGAAAAAGAAAAGCTATTTTTTTCTTGATTGCCGCTGCGAGGATTGAACTCGCGATATCAAAACTGTATGCAAGCGCACTTGCGCTGCTCCACGTACATCTGTCGGAGATGGGAGGCGTTCGCGCTATACACCACTTCACTTCAAAGTACAGCATCTACCGACTATCTTGTTTAAAAAGTTATGATAGTTGAACAATTATTAGTCACGTGTGTTCGGACCACCTAAAAAAATAATTTATTCATAGAGATTCAGTTCGAAATGCTTCCGTTTTTCGGTGTTTTTTTCTTATTTTAACGTTGGCTTCAAACTAACACTGATTAAACTTTTTAGGCACCGCTAAAAATTTTTTTATTTTATTTTTTTATTTGATTGAAAAATTGAGATACGCTAATATTTAAAAAAATAAAAAAAGGCGCCAACGACATCTGACCATGTTAAAATGAATTTCGAAATTTTGACTGTCTATTTTTTTCTCAGAAAACAAAGTTTTCGGAATAACTTTTATATTAATAAAAATTTTAGTTACAATTTAATCCACAAGTTAAAAATAAAAATTTTTTTACTTACACGCTCTCGAAAGCGAGTACAACATTTTCAACTTTGCGCGGCCTCACGAAGATTAGGCACCGTAAAAAAATTTTAATTTTTTTGTCTTAAAAAGATTTGTTTTTTTCACTTAAAAATCGAATTCGAAAATAAAAAAAGGCGCCAACGACATGGAACTAGGTTAAAAACCCGAAGAAAAAAAGTAGTTTCGGTTTTTTGTACGACACTCCGCTAAAACGCTACAAAAATCGGGTGAAAAGTATATCAGATTGAAGAGGAAAGTTTTCTCTATGTTTCCACCAAATTTCTCTGTGTTTGATTCAGTATTGCGCTTTTACGAAGACATCAAACACGAAATCTAAAAAACCAGTGCATTTCACCATCGCAAAAAGGGGCGTGGCTCTGCGGTCTCTACCTTACCAGAAAGAAATTTTCCTTTTTCCGAAATTCGAAAATAATGACCTCGATTTTTTGGGGATGACTCGAGGAACGCCTATGCCGATTTTCTAGTCAAAGGGCCATTTTACCAATTTAAAAAGGGGCATTTAGATACGTTCTTTCGTATTTCAATCGATAAGGTTCCTCTTTCACTTATCGACGCTTATTCTTCTTGTCAGAATTCAAAGGCGAAAATCAAACAAACCTTTTTCGATAATTTTATTTTTGGGATAATAGTTTCGAATAGAATGAATAGTTTGAAGTTTTCACATCTTTTTCAGACAAATCAAAAAAACAAAAAAACTTCAGGTAGATTCCGTTTTTCTCACAAAGTCGAATGAGGTTATTCAAAAAAAAATTATTTTTCTAAAATAGCTATTCATCGAGTAAAACAAGTTAATCGGAAAGCAGATCAATTTTTGAATCGCATCGTAATTTAAAAAACAGAAAAAAATGGCGCTTGAGAACATGTCATTTCAGAAATGGACCGTCGCTTTGGTGCGCCCTTCTCTCCTTTCTTCAACCATCACAGGTACACTGAAGGCGTTCGGAGCGCCCTAGAGGGACTGCTTTCAGAAGGTTCTTCGACGACTTCGAACCCTTGGATCGGTCTTTCATTCGGCCTTACTGGGCTGACCAATCTATGCTCACAGGTCACCGAGTCGGCGACGCCATTGATGTCAGTTCCTTTCGATATACTTTTTGTGGTTTAGAACAAGTTCCAATAGAGTCGGAAATAGGAAAAGAAGAGATATCAATTAAAACGACTCGAAGAAAAAGTTTGGCTAGCGAAGTCGTTTGAAGTTTTCACGGGTCTAATTCGATATCACAAAAATATACAAATATCGGAATTATTTCACGGAAAAAGTTTCTATAAGCAATAATTAGGTTTCGTTAGTTAATAATTTATTGACTGGAACTCATTTGCCAAGAACCTTTACTTATAAACTCACTAATCCTCTAAAACTTGTGACATTATAGCGGAAAAAGATGCCTTGTTAGGCTGATTTTTTTATAGACTTATTGCGACAATTTCAAAGAGGTCGAGGAAGTTCTGGAAAATGGATGTTATGAGAATGAAAGAAAAAACTAGAATATTTGCTCAAAAAAAAACTTTTTCCAAAATTCGAATTAACGCAAGAAGGAAAACGCTGAGGAGAGTCACCTCCCAAGCCGTTCGTTTTCAAGACGGAACGGCTGCGCGATATTTTTCCTTCTCTAATACTCGTTTTTTCACCTGTTCACTTTGCTTTTCTTCGATTCACATAAATATTATAATGAAAAAACGACTTTTTTCGAATAACACTATGGTAGGATCAACTGAAAATTGAGAAGTTTTATGTCTTACTATTGTGATGGTTCAATTGTTTAGGTCGTGGACAACCAAAACGAGTACACAGTCTCGGTGGACGTTTCTCAGTTCGAGCCGGAAGAACTCAAGGTCGGTCCGATTATTTATACTCAGACTGCAGAAGCTGGATTTGTTCGGAAAATGATAAGAGATAACTTGAGATAGAAGAACAGATGAAGACCAAACTAGATATTAATTTCCCCTTTTGTTTTTCAATAAATGATTATTTTCAGGTGAACATTGCTGACAATCAGCTAGTGATAGAAGGAAAGCACGCCGAGAAAACCGACAAATTCGGACAGGTGAGCAAGAATTCCCCTGTAGAGTTGAAATATCGGAATAATACATCATTAGACATGAGAAGCGGGAGAAATTTTCACAGGTTGAAAAAATAAGGGTAAAAATCGCGTGAAGAGAAGAAATTTGAAAATTTGCGGATGGGGAATCTCTTTGCGCGGCAGCTCCAACCACTAGAGATCGCTCCAATGTTTGGTTTTCGGACTTTTTCTCCGTTTTACCGCAAAAGTTGCTAACGTTACATTCAATGAAATTAAAAGATCGAAAATTCCAACCAAGGTCTAAAGACTTTACTCCATAGTTTTTTGGTTTTTTTTCGGAAGAATTCCGGGAGAGATTATCAGAATGAAGCAAGCTTCCAGGTGGAACGTCACTTCGTCCGCAAGTACAACCTGCCTCCTGGAGTCAAGGCGGAAGACGTGAAGAGCGAACTGAGTCGCGAAGGCGTCCTCACGGTCAAGTACGACAAGACGACCGAGCCTCAGCCCACCAAGATTCCCATTACCATCGTCAAAAATTGAAGATTTTTCCCCGCTTTGCTTAAATTATCCCGGCTTTAACATATACATTCAAAAAATGAACAAACGTTTTGTTTTCTGATAAATATTTTCTGCGCTTTGAACAACGGAAAACTGGATAAAAACGGATGCGGCATGTGAATTGGATTTCACTAAAGACCTAGCAAAAACGAGTGAGAGTTATTTCAAAGATTTCTTCAATCATACAGTCTTTCTAATCTATAAACCGATTACTGAAACACAGAGAAAAAAAAAAATCTGTTTTGACAGAAAAGGCTCTTGCAGAAAATTCAGCCGCACTTTGTTTTTTAAAAAAATGTTTGTTTCAAATTTCAAAGCTTCGATTTTAAATGCCCATCAAACGTGTTTCACACAAAAATGAATGATTGACAAAAAAAAAGAAGTTTAAACGATAATTCTCGAAGCAATTACGAGCAGAGAGTAAGGTGAGTTGTTCACATTATTGGCCTGAAAATACATCGTTTCCGTGAATATAATTTTTCTTATACCTTGAGGTGGACCGAGCAGAAGTACTTATCGTTGTAGAAATCGTAGTTGATCTGAAGGCTGCTCCTCGAAGGGTCCACTTGAAGGGTGGTGACAGTCCAGTCTTGCGGTGAGCCGAGTTCCAGATACACCTGAAAGTTCCGGCCAGGTAATTGCTGAGACTAATTTCAGACCTCTTCGGAAACCGACAAAGGGAGACTGCCATTGTTCACGCCGACGTCGATGATTCTCTTCAGAAGAGCCGTGTCGGAGCAGTGAGATCTGCAGTACTTGAGCTGCGAGTTGAAGTTAGCGCAATTAGAGACGCCTGAACAGGATCCAGATAAGTCTTCTCTTCGTCCCTTACTGGGATCGGCGGTCGTGACGGTATCCTTGCCAGACGCAGTCGGCTTGGCCAGATGAACGTGCGCGTGAACTGTGATTGTGTTGCTCATGAAGTCATCCTGGAATCAGTCTCTGAAATTCCGGAACAGCTCGATGGAAGATAACCTGTGAACAAAAGGAAGAGCTCGGGAAGCTTGCGGGCGTCTCTACGGCATACAAGAAGACGTTGTGCGCATCTATGGAGGCCCAACTTTTCGGAGACTGAGTCAGGTCGCAGCTGTCTATGAAGGAATGATGCCATTTTCGAAAACATTCCATTCGCAACCAACTTTGCTTTTGAGTAACCTATTTCATTCAACCACTGTAGAACTGCTTTTTCCCTTTTCCTTTTTTTCCTAACTCTTCGGAAAACGTTTCACTCTGAACGAACAAGGAACAAAAACCCACTGATAAAGATATGGTGCTCGCGTTTTCTGATTTTTGATAGGGTTTTTTTCCAGATGGTTCAAACATTCAACTTCCCTATTTCTGCCAGTCTTGTGGAAAATTATTCGAATTTCTTACCGTCACTGTTTTTGTTTACCTGCTCAAAAACCCTTCAAGATTTTGCAATATAAAAAAGCTATAATACCACAAAACACAAAAAAGAAGCCTGCGACTAAAAAACAACTTATTTTTTACGTTTTCCAGCGTGGTTGGCGGACAAAAATGATCGAGTATGTCGAACCTGGACGGACGACGGCGAAGACAAACACGAAAGGAAGCAAGAACCGCATTGTCGGCCAATTAATCAGTACAAAACGAAGATCCGCTCGTTTTGAACAATCTTTTATCACTAATATGCGCCCACTGAACCCTTATCTCGCTTCTTTATCTTCATTTTCCGCCGTTTTCTAGATAATATTATGTCAAATTATTCAATATTTATCACATCAGGTGATGGAAAGCTGAAACAACAATCAAACCCGCACATTTGGACTCAAGTCTGAGAAAAATCCTACGAAGGTAAGCGAAAGGATGGCCGACTCGTATTCGGGTAAAGTTTGAGAGATGAGCAAGGTATGAAAATGATATTGCAATAGGAAAAGCTTTGAAAAGGAGTTACATGGGGAAGTAAACGTCGAGCTTCTTTTTCGACGCAACGTTGTTCAAAACCTGCAAAAATACAATTTATCAAGATTTAAAATATTTCAAAAAGCTGAAAAAACTTGCAAATTTTCTCAAATATTCGAATTTTTTACACTTTGCAAGAAAAAATAGTGATTCCACATGACAAAGAAAGTAATCAACGAAAAAGTCATACTAGCCTCGAAATGAAGCGGCGTCATTTCCGATGTGACTATCGAAAACTCGACAAGTCAATCATGATTACCGCTCATTAATTATCAATGTAATGTCTCGCGAGGAAACAGGTTATGAGGAATACCCGAATCGGCAATTTTCGGAAACAAAACAAATAGGAAATACCTCGTTGACCGTCTTGCGACTGGTTTCAGGGCAAAGCGACCACGTGAGGAAGAAGAAGACGCCAGTCGGCACGATGAAAAGCAAAAGAGATTGCGCTCCGATCTGGAATTCGAGACTTGAAAGACAGCACAAAAATCGCGAAAATAGAGTGATTCATTAACAGCTAGTTTCAAGCCCCCAAAAAAATTTTGCAGGCTTTGAAAGCGGCCCTAAACTTTTTCTCAATCACTCTTTGTATTTCTATATAAATAAATTGACTAGACAAAAACTTATCATTGCGAAGTTTGGAAAACTTCAAATGAATATTTGAAGAATTGTTTCGTTTTGTGATTCTGGAGATTTTCTTTTTTGTGTGAACAGGTGATTAAAAGCGTTGAAGATCAATTGAAAAACAATTTGAAAAACAATTTCCAAAAACTTATTTGCGCGTTCATGAGCAATTTTCATTAAGAACTTCAGCTGAATTCAGAGCTTGAGCGAAATTCGGAAAGTTCCAGAATTAAAAGTTTTGGCGAATTTGATGGGGATTTCCAGACTTACCACGTTGGCCAAAGGATAGAAGGCGAACTCGACTGCAATTTTGGTCAAAGACTCAAAATTGTTGAGAGTGGAGACTGAAGAAAGCAGCAAATCTCGTGGAACCAGCTCCGCCGAGTAAAAACGAGAGACGGATCCTATGCCGCAGGTGTTGATCAGCAACAATCCGGTCAGACCGCAGAAAGTCGCGTACTGAAGAGAATGAAGCTGAGAAGCAGAAAAAGAGAGGAACCAACCTTCCACTCGCCGCCCATGTTAATGGCCAGCATCATGAGAAGCAACGACGCGAAAGAGACGAACATGGAGACGACGATCAAGGGCCTTCTTCCGAGGCGATCCACAAGGAAGACTGGCATCAAAGTGACGGGCACTCGGATGAGGCCGATCAGGAAGGAAAGCCACGTCGCCTGCGAGTACTTCCAATGCGACATGGTGAACAGAATGAAGGTGCTGTAGGATCTGAGGCAGCGGGCTCCGGTGAACACGTAGCCTATCTGAAAAACAACATCCTTGCAAGTCAAAAAGTAGGATTTCTTCTCTGAACCAGTCCGTCTAACTGCGAATTTCAGCTCAATAACCTTCTCGATTCAAAAATACATTTATCGATCTACATACGAACACATTCTCTATTCAAATCTTACTGGTCTCAATAACCTTTAATTGATTTTTTTTTTCAATTCGCCATATTGATAAAAATGAGCTCGTCGAGAGTCACGAAATATGTGAATATTGTTGTCCTCAAACAGCGGGAAAATGATCTCAGAACAAAAAACAACACGATATCAGATGAGTGTCTGGTCTACTTGAGATGGTTGGCTGATCGCGCCAAAATCGACACTTGTGTCTGGTGGACCCCTGCCGACTAGGCAGCTCAGGTCAATGCACTATAGAGCTCACACTTCTGTCTTCCCTTCTGTTCGACTTTTTTTGAACTGACTACCGCTTAGAAGCTTTTTTTATTTTTTCTTACTCTGCTTTAAAAAGCATATAATTTCCAATCAAATTCAAAATGAAGACCAAAAAACTTGCCTTGACCATAACGCCGACCCAAACGCAGTGGCGGATGATCTTCGACGTCGCGTCGTTGGCTTTCCACGGCATGAACATGACGGCCATCGGACTGTGAGCACACTCGATTCCAGAGGACTGAAAGACCTCATGGAGTTGACAGAGCTCGGAAGTAGAGCCCTACCTTCGCCTTGACGACACCTTTCTTCTTGGTCAGACTGTCCTCGCAAATGCGGATCTCAGCGTCGACAGAAGGGTCGTCTTCAGAAACGCCGTGGTACGCCGCCAGAGCCTTCCTTGCTCTGTCGATGTCGTTGTACCGTTCCATGATGAATTGCGGCGACTCCGAAACGTAGGTGAACATGACCAACGAGGCCAGAACGACGACAATGTTGGGCAGGAAATTGAACGGCCAAAGCTCATCCGTTGAAAAAGGCACCCCCACGGCTTGTGTCGTCAATGATCCTGAAAAGTAGGAAAAGTTACTGGAGAGTGATAACTTGGAAAATAATGTTGAAAATTTCTCAAATTTTTTGCCTCACAAAGCAATAAATTAAGAGAATGAGGTATTTCAAAATTAAAAAAAAGTATGGGCTTAAAAATTTGGTCTCAGCGAAGTTGAAGTCGCAGAATTAATGAAGAAGAAAAAGATTATCGAGAAAAAAAAATCAATGTCAAGTGATTATCAAATAAAACTTTTTTTGGTCGCTTTAACCTCGAAACTTGGCTCTTTGGTCGATCCGTACGAAACTGAGACGTTGTAAAGGGAAAAAAAAGTTCCGAATTGTTTTCGAATTTCCAAATCGACATGAAGTTCGATGCCAAAAAAACGAAAAAATGTTCTCTTATCCTTCAATTCAAACTTTTTCACTCTTTCCGATAGCAAAAATAGAAGCATCAAAGCGGGATAACTGACCGAGAGCCATGAAGAATTCTTGCATGGCGGCCATTCTGCCTCTGAATTGCGGTGGAGCGCATTCGACGATCCATACAGTCGCGTTGACGGAGTTGATACCGTTGGCCAAAGACCAGATGATGCGACCTACAAAAAGCAGTTCGAAGGCCGGACTCAGCCATTTGGCTGAAGCGCAGCACAAAGATCCGGGAATCTGAAAAGATCTCGATTGGATTACTGTCGAGGAACGCTTACATAGAAGAAAGAAGCAATAAGCGCCGTCTTTTTCCTCCCAAGTCGGCTGCACATGAAACCGGCCAAGAATTGGCCAAAAATGGTTGCGATGGGGAAACAGACATTGAGTAAGGACCACAGAAGATGCTGAAAATGTCATTGAATCAGATCTCTATGACAGTAAACGGACCAATGTGTTGCCGGAAATGGGGTCGCCGGTCCTCTCAATCCAGGACTGGTTGATGTACTGTTCGATCTGGGCGTAGGGCTGGTTGAGGACCGAGGCGATGTAGCCTTGCTGGTACCCTGCCGAGAGACATAATGCTACCGACAGCACGTGTATTGATATTGAGGGCATAAGCTGCAAATTTTCGAATGAAATATTTAGAAGTTATTGATTAATGACGTCGCAACTCATAACAAGCTAGAAACACGTATTCAGACCGAAATATAGTGATATTATTTCATATACTTAATCTTCACTTGATGAGCCGATTCATTGTTCAATTAAAAATCATAAAAACAGAAAGCTCTTCTATTAGAAAATAAGTCAGGCAGTTACTGTTTTTGGAAGAAGCTTTCGAAAAAAAGAGTTGTCGAAGACATCTTCGCGATGATAAAATAATCTGAGCCAACCTGGTCATAACGAATGTGAGATCGGCGAGCATCGTTGCGAAAAGCGACGATGCGATTCATGGCAAAGAAAGTTCGGAAGTGTGGGTCGGCGAAAGCGATGGGATGGCCGATTTCTTCGTTTCGCCCACAATTTTGCTTGGACAGACCGCCCCCCGTCTTCCGCCGACCGTACTCCCAGCATTTTGCAATGTCTTTTTCTGGGAAAACCTCCTTCTAAAAAATAACACGCAACTGACACGCTAACCTTGAAAACAATGCGAAAAATAACAGAGGAAGTGACACATCGCCGTCAAAACCAAGTTTCGGATTTCAGAAACAAAATTCGTTTGTTCCAATGACACTGAGAAAAATTCAAATTATTAATTTTTTCGATAGATTCAAAGTTTCCTTGAGAAAACCAAGTTAAATAATTTGATGACTTGTAAGTAATTTCCTCTTCATTACTTTTCAAAGAAAAATGTTCCCGATAACGAAATTTTCCTGAGATTTTTTTGCGACCCTAATTCCGGAACACGATATTTTATAGAGGGCTCAAAACAGATTTCGTTAGGCAAAAAAAAGTACTCAATTTAAATTTCAAATCTATCAAATCCACGATCTCCTCGAGTTTATGGAAATCAATCTTCCCAACTCTCAAAGTACGACGAGAATCTAATTATTTCTACTCGATTCTGATTCTCACCAAACCAAGGCAGTTTCCTTACCATTCCAGAAATGTCCGAAAACTTTCTGAAACAGTCTAAAAAGTATTATGCTGTGGTCTTTGAAATTGCAATAACTGAATATAATTCCCAAGCAAATCCGAAGTTTGCGAGAAAAAAAAAACTTCCCAAAGCTTTAAAACCCATTCGAATATCGACTGAAGTTCTGAAGCTATTAGCAAGATTACCGTAACCTCGGCTATTTTGATCGCTTTGGACTTTTTTGTTGTGACCAGAAGACATGGCCACCAACAAGAAACACAGTAACCTAAGGCCAAACGGCTGGTGTCATCGCTAATGTGTCTTCTCATCAAGACGACGTCAAGCGAGACGGGAACGTCTGTACGCACTCTTCTCAACTTTGAACCCTTGACGCACAAATTTCCCGTTTGCTGAATCGCAAACTGACAGAAATAGCCTGGGGCGCTTCCGCCGGAAGCGAGATATCGTCGCTGATTGGCGGCGTCACAGCCATTTCTTGACCGACCAACGACAAATAAGAAGATTTCTTCAGAGGGAGAGACTCCGCCAAGGAAATAAACCATGAAACCAGAAAAGCCAACAGGCATGATCAGTCATTCGTCCGTTTTTTCTTTGTTTTTTTTTTTCTTTACACAAAGACAAAGGGACGTAGAGAGGTCTGAAACCAAAATTCAATCGCAATTCCGAAGGAAAAATGAAGATTCCATGAAAAATGTAAGTAGCATTTCTAATTAATAGCTTCGAAGAACTAAGAGTTCGAGCAGTTCACAGAATGCGAGCGTCGCTGGTAATAGAAAAAAAAGGAAAAAAAATTTAAAGACAGTCAGAATCTTAGAAAAACTTGAGTTTTCTCGATATACTTCAGCGAAGGCTAGCTGGTCTTTGTAGAAACTCAAAAACCGGTGTTCACGGCTCGCTTCAAGGAAATTCTTCTGAAGACACTCATAAATCTTCCAAGCAGCGGAGGAGATATGAAGAAGTGAGTCAACCATGAAAAATAAAGGAACGGTTAGTTCAGCTGAAAAGAGGAAGGAAAATCATAGTTTGAACGTTTCCATTTGATAACTCCCTTAACGTACGCTTTCGACAATAACATGAGCATAAATAAACAAACAACAAACAAGTGAAAGCTTGAATGATTGCGGAGCGACAAGACACGAGACCATTACGCGACGTTACTCGGGGCTCTGCGACACTTTACACCGCCGCCTGTTATCCAGTAATTTCAGAAGCAGCTGTCGGCGCCCGCGGCGAATTCCTCATTCGAAATCTCCCTCAGTTATGACACAACAACCTTCTGCGCAAACATCAAGATATCTCCTGACCTTTACAACTGCGTCTTAGTCTCTTATGGGAAAAATTTATGAAATGCATTCGTAGAAGCCGATCTGAGATCATCTTGAAACTTTCAGTTACACTGTAGGTGGGACAATAAATAACAGAAGTTTAAAAAACTCAACAAAATTTTCTAAACGGAGTTGGATTTCAATAAGGGTCACCAAACTTTGCGATTCGCTCCTTTGTCCAGAAAGAATTCGCTTCGCTCTCCAGAGATTTGAACAACTGCGTCCTGGGAATCGAATACAAAGATAAATCAGAAAGAAAGTTCAAAAAAATGAAAAAAAGGAGACTTATCGAAAAAAATGACCTTTTTTTCTATAGAAAAAAATCTGAAAAAGCTCTTCCAAAAAGAAAGTGTCCGAAAAAAATCTCATAAAAAAAGTTATATCCCTATAACAAAAAAACAGAACTTAAAAATCGAAAAAAACTGTCATTGAAATTTTCTCGGGTGTCGCGATTTTAAGGTTTTTTTATCTCTACTTCTAAGGTTTATCGATTTAGGCAACTTATTATTCCTTGATATAAAGGAGCTCAGATCAAAAAAATTTTTCACCAATTATGAATATTGTAACTGATGCTCATAAATCTCTGAAAAAAACTTTAAAAAAAAGGTACCTTAAGACGGAAATATTCTTGTCGTAGGGATTCCACTGTTCGCCGGAAACATGAAACAGCGGCGACCAGCGATCTGTTATTGAAAAAAAGATTTAAAAAACAAAGTCTTGAAACTTATGACGCACCACGTTTCAGAACATTCGTGCAACGTTCAACCATTTCCCTGAATTGGGCGCTCTTGAAAAACTCAATCCGCCAAGTCTGAAAGCTCCAAATATATTTCATAATTTTCCAACTTCCGTCAACACTAAATTTGAGAATTGATAAAAGCATACCTTATCAGCGCCGTTATCCGCGAAATTTGCAATTCTGCTGAACAATCGCGGGTGCAAAATCCTCTTGAAAGAGCAAAGAAACTGGTTTCGGACAGTTGTGAAGAAAGCTTCCGTTGGTCTAAAAAGTGAGAATAAGAAAAACGGGCCATAAAGTATTGATTCTAAGTTAAAACTTGCAAATGAAAACTTCTTTCTTGCGAGAAAAGTCTTCTTAAAAAGTTTTTTCTGATATAAAAAAGGATATTAAAAACGTTATATGTGAATTTTTTTTTAATTCGCAATATTGTTAACGAGATTTCCCGATTAAAAAGCTATACTACTACTAGCTACAACCATTGACAGATTACAGAATCTGAAAATGAGAAATCGTAAATGAAACTCACGGATCATCAACATCAGAATCGAGAAGCTTAAGCCGGCCACCAAAAATACAAGAAGGAATGCGGTCAAAACCACTGATCAGATATGTGCTTCCGTCGAAATTCGATCGAACTGGTGGTGCTTTTTCTTGATTTTATCATTCAGGTCTTTCGAAAACCTGTTTGGTGAAGAACTGAGCAGCCGAAAACTTCCGCCATTTCTGACAAAACGATGTTCGTCCGGTCCAATACTGCTTTCTTTCTCGATTGAGGCTGATTCTTCGAGGATTTTATTAAATATGCGACGTTAATCACAGTTTTATTCTTTTGAACATTGTCTCGAAAGCTAGAGTTTCGATTTTTATTAATTATTTAATTTTCAAGTATAGTAGTTAAATTGCTTTTTATCTAAATAACTTTTGGGTGAGTCCACGAGTGTAAAGGTCAAAGAAATCCAGTTTTAACCACTGCAAAATAAACTTCATTATCGGCTAGCTTAAAGAAAAATTATACCAAAAAAAAAAAATGGAAGTCAGTCATTTAAAAAATATGAGTCTAATAGGGCCTGGATAACGAATTCTGGTTCAGTTTTTTGGTCTCAAGCCAGTGGTCAACTAGCTATACGCCTGTTAACTTCATCCGCAGAAAAGTTGAGGCCTTCAAAGTGAACATTCATAAAAAGGACAATCCCTTACCTTTGATTTAAAATGAACTGGAGGCTTAGCAGGGGGAACAGCTATTTTTTCCTTTTGAGCATTTGTAGAAAGCACTGTTCTGAACTGGCGGAGAGTTTTTATTTTTCACTGTTTTTTAATTATAACGACTATTCATATATGTATATTTTTTTCCATAGTTTCGGTGAGATCTCTTATTTCTAGAAAAGATTCTGATAAAATTAACCCAAATAAACGTCCGCGTTTCAGAGCTGCAGAAGCCATTGAACCAACCGGAACTTGAAGGACGACGTCCCGATGAACCTCAACTTCAAGGCTTGTGGGAAAACGATGTGAGAAGGGACTCACGATTTCATCGTCACTGCGACTCTCGCTACTCAACATTCCTTTCAAAAATGTGAGAAACGACGGAAAAGCAAAAATTATAGCGTCGAAGACTGCCGACGTGGCCTATGAAAGAAAAGATTTTTTATTTTGGAAATACGTTTTTTAGTTCGTTTTTTTTACATAGATAAAGGTCTGACCGGTACGTCTGAGCGAATATTAAAATTATAAATGAGTTTCTGAACGATAAAAAAAAAGATTGACGACGAAATTGACGTGCTCCTTGTGATCTGTCATCCGTGAATAAATTTTATTTGAAATTTTTCACACCTCACGGTCAGATGAAATCATGAGGTAATTAAAATATAATCCATTCGCCTTCAGAAAACACTACAGAAACTAAAATTTCTCGAAATAGCGGTGATTGAACTATACTTTGACGATTTACTTCGATAAAAGCTTTCACGCAACCAAATCTTTTCGTTTGCTTTTTTCCTAGAAAATTAAGATAACAGTCACAAACGAACCGAGCTTTGCAGTATCTCAGCGTCACCTCCTGAAAAGCTTTTTGAAAAATCCTTCTTCGCAAATTCTTTCATGTAATTCCAATGAAGACTCAACTTTGATTTTTAATAAACCATATGAATTAGATAAATGAATAATTTTTATTAGGAAATTTTTTTATAACACGTCAGGATAAGGAAAGAAATGACAAAAATCGTAAGGGCCATAAGGCCTTGGAAACAAAAAAAATCAATACAAAGCTCGACTAATCCTCCTCGATGTAGAGCTCGTTCATGTTCTTCCTCCAAGCAGTTCCTTGGACGGAGAGGGTGACTCGCTCACCGGAGACCTTCATTACACTCGCCAAGGTCCATTTGCCGTTCTTCATGTCTTGAGCGATGACCTTGTCTCCAGCAACCAGTCTCCGCTGTTCGAAACCCGTCAAAGGCCGCAGAGTCATGTTGCCGACGTGAACTCTGGTTGTGTCGGTCTTGGGCTGAGTCTGCGTTGGAGCAACCAAAGTGGAGGCCGTTGGAGCCGTGTCGACTTGGTAACACTCGGCCAGCAGAAGACTCAGTTCATCGGCAAGTTTGACTTGTTCTTCGACTCGCATCGCGGGTACGTTGCCAGACCCCACGCTTGAGACATAATGGAAGGCTCTCGAGTTGAATATTCTTGTTAGAGTTGCAGAATCGCCCTTCTGTCGCAGCTCCATCAATTTTCGTTCCAGCTCCTGCATCAAGCTGTTCACACGTTTCATCTGATCCGACTGCTGCTGTTGTTGCTGAGAGGTTGTAGGGTTAGGCACCAAGGATACAGGCGGCACAACTACAAAGTTAGGCGGCGGAACGTTTGTAGGTGGTAGAACCATTGACGGCGGGGGGAGAACCATTGACGGCGGAGGGAGAACCATTGAAGGGGGTGGAAGGTTCATCGAAGGTGGTGGAACGGATGGAGAGTAAGCGACAGCTGCGTTTTTCATTGCTGCCAGCTCGTAATGAAGCTTCGCGCGCTCTTCTTCGATAACCTTTTTGCGGATTTCCTGTTCCAGCTCCTTGCGTTTCTGAGCCAGCTCTTCCTCCATGCGCAGTTTCATCTCTTGCTCTTTGAGTTTTATAATTTCCTCGGCCCTTCGAAGCTCGGCTGTTGGGTCGACAACAGGCGGCATCATGTTTGACGAACTGGCGGATTCTTGTTGATTGGAAGTCATCGGATAAGGGAAGCCAGGATAGAAAGGAGGCATCATCGGCGGCATTCCCTCGAAGTGCGGAGGGGGAGGAGGAGGAAAGAATCCGGGTGGCATCATCATCATCGGAGCATTATTCTGTACGTCTTTCGGCTGCGAAAAAGCAAAAGAAGCCTGAGGAGCCGGTTTGCCTTGTGCAGGAGCCGTTTCAGCAGCATTTTCCTTCTTCAAAGTATGACTTTGACCAACAAAACATATTTTGGAAAAAAAACCTTTGTCGGTAGAGGCCGAAGCAGAGCCGGATACCGATGATATACTTCGTTCGAAACCTAAAAGAAAAAATTGCAATTAAACGTCGGGAACTTTGTGAACAACTTTTTTTCAGGCAGTAGGGTCTGCAAAAAACTATTTATGTGTGAAAAAATAACCTCGCGGAACAAATCTTTGAACTGTTGAATAGTGTCAGGCTCCAGGACACGAACTTCGAGAACTCTCACAGGCCAGTCAACTAAATCTTGAACGTAAATAAAAAAAAATACTAATTTCAAAAATAAAACTTGAACTGAATTTCACAAAATAATTAGAAAACTACTTTTTTCGTCTGCAGAAAATACTTGAATTAAAAAAAATTCTTGTACGTGTCTGTGTGAGAAAATTCAGAATTTGTTCCCTGGTGAATTTTTGAGTGGTAACTGAGTTTAATCGGAACTGAAAAGGAAAAATTTAAAAGAAAAACCAACTTTCGGCCATTCTTTTAAGAAAAGAAACCATCGCATTGGTGGCCAGAGCGAAAGCGGGCAATTTTTTTCTCTGAAAAAAAGAGCTTGAAGAACTTGATCACACCATCCTTCAATAAATGTTCAACCCAGAAATTTAAGCAGAACAATTAATATTTGAATACAAATATGCGAGCGGATATGTTTAATAATTGAATTCACTATAAAAAATGACCCTATCGAATTTTCCGTCGGCGGAGATAGCCATGTGCAGATCACTGCTTAAAAGTCCGAGCCGATTGCATTTATCGACGAAATCCTTGGCCGCCGCCCCTTTGGCCTTGACGGCTCTGGAAATTGTAGAGTTCAATTTGTGATGCCTCTGAGAAGAAAACGTACTTAAGACCAAATCCACTCCCAAAGAAAATAGCTGGTGGCAAGCCAGGAACAAGCAAATCGCAGTGGAGGAGCATCTGTCGGTCTTCAGGCTTTATATCGTACGGGAAAGATATACATTGCTTCTCTGCTCGGTTGGCCACTGAAAGAAAAAAAAAACACTCGATTTACATCATTGACATCAAATTAACTTGCTTAAAACTAAGATTTATTTTTTCTAAAATGTTTTTGAGATTATAAAGAAACTTCTCTTCCAGGTCAACAGCTCTTGAACTTTTTCTCGCGGTCGCCCCTTCCAAGTGCGTTGACGTACAGCCCTAGCAAATTTTCAAGGATCTCCCTAATCAAACCTCATTATTCTTCTGCTGCTTTGTACTAATCTAAAATATTTAAGAGAAGCTCTAGATGGAATATGTGCCGGGAAACTCCATAGCGTTTTAAACACACTATGACGATCATTCAAAAATTGATACTCGTCAATTTTTGCTGAATAGTCTTTGGAAGTTGTTCCGAACTTCATTTTTTTAATGAACAAAAAGAGTAGAATCTTCTTATTTCACTTCTTCGAAACTCTGAAGATCTCTGAAAACCTTTTTAAGGTCAATTTGAGGCTTTCCCTCAAAATCCAGGAAGAATCCTTCCGTGTTATAGTTTCAAAAAATTCGAGATTCCTGTCGTCGAATGTTCTCTCGAAGGACAAATTGGTCCAGAAAATCCACGAGAATGCTTCCTGATGTGACGAAACGTGTGACTTCCGCGTTGTTCAGAAAACAGACAAAAAAAAATTCTTCCGTCTTGGTAAAACATTACCTTATTGACACAGGGTACTTTTTTTCCATCGACACGATTTGAAAAAAAAAATAAAAAGAGAATTAACCACTATGAATTTTAAAAATCTCTGAAAAAAACGGCATAAAACCACCAAACTTCATATATTTCAATTCAATCAAATTTTCTTAATTGCTCTTTTTTCAACTAACAAGGTAAGTCGTTGCGAATGGGAATTTTCTGGTGGTATGAAAAAAAAGACCAGCAAAAATTCGAACGGCGACTTTTCCGATTTTTTCATATCGCTAGGGAACTTTCCGACGGCCACCTTTCCGCCGAATCTTTTTCCGACTTCTCGATATAATTTTCGTTATGAAACATCCTATATAAAGTAGACTAGTTATTCATGATTAAAACACAAAGAAATAGGAAAAAAAGATGTTAATAATGTTTCATAAACCGAATAATATATGGGAAAAAAGTCGGAAAGTTCCCTAGCGATATGAAAAAATCGGAAAATTGATCTTTTTTTCATACCACCAATTTTCTTAAAATTGATCAGAACACCTCTTGATGTCTCAGAGGAAGGCCTTGAAAGTCTCAAACTGCCCAACTTTCTGTTTCACGATGAATAAGGGACCAGAGCTCGAAAATAATCGAATTTAACGGATTTTCTTTGACTTTGAGGGGCTCTTTCGTGAAGACTAGAAAGTTGTGCAGATTGAGACTTCCAGAATATTCTTGTTCTCCCAAAATTAAGGAAATTTTTGACCACAAAGTGAAGTAGCCTTTTTTTTGACAGAGCTTTGAAAAAATGCTCAAACATTTTTTTTCAAAATATTGATAGCTAACCGACTCAAAAAGAATTCATATGGATAGATGGCCGAGGAAATTATAATGACTTCATCAAACCTTTATAATTCGAAAAAAAAAATGAATCCAACCTGTGATGGTTTCCATCGGTTTTTCAGGAACACTTTTCATTTTCATGCTGGCGCATTTCGATTGTATAAAAGCCATCCAATACTCTAGGAACTGAAAAGTCAATATTTCGGATAACAAAAAAACAAAAAATGCGTCACATCTGAGTAGACATCGCTCTCATAAACGATGCCATCGCGGATTTCGTCTGGATCAGCGAACGGCAAGATTGACCTGTTCCAAATATGAATAATATTTCTGAAAACACGAAAATTGGAAGAAACGTGTTCTGAATGAGGCCTGAATGAACAACAGTACTTGCGAAAGATTAAAAAATAAACTGTGATAATTTGAGACGATATAAACTTCATAAAACTTGAAAAAGAAAAAAAAATCAAGACTTCTAAAACTCAGTGAGCAAAAAAAAAGAAAACATAGGAAAAGGATAACCTACTTTTGAAATGAAGGATCGGTTTCCTGTTGCGAATCAAGTTTTGGTGAGAAAGACCTAGCCGAAGAGCGATTTCGCGAATCTTCGGCGTCTCTTATACCGTTCGGAATGTCTTCAATCATTAGTTGATGACTTACATTCAACATCACAGATCACCTCTTTCCCTATCTGGTGAAACTGAGCGACTGCGGGTAATATCCATGTCGACGTGCCTTGATTGGCTTTCCTCCTGCTAAAAAGCGGCAAAAAAAGATAAGTATTGAAATATCAAAATAAAAAAGTGGATAAAAAACGCAAAAAAAAAGAATGAAGACTAAAAATATGAATACGTACAACATCCAGCAGATAAATACATAAACTTAACCTACACGTATTAAACCTCTTCGAAAAAAATTTAACCGTTTTCGAAAGTAATACTTTTTAGAAAACCGGCTTTTCTAAGTATTCGTAAGCAGAAAATCTTCTTTTATTATTCAAAAAATTAAAAGGATAAAGAAAAAAAAAATTATTTTAATCGAAAAGAGTTCTGAGACTGGGACTTTTTGGTGCCAAATGAACATGAAACTTGGGGTATAAAGTAATTCATGGGGCTCTTTTTTCTGTCGTTTTTTTTGATCTTTCTCCGAACCGAGAACATTTCTTGCCGCTTAGAAAAATTGAATCATAACTCGAGCAATACATGCTCAAATCATGAAAAATTGACTAACATCGTCAGATCTGCTGTCGTCACGGCTTCTGCGATGATTACGAGACGCCTCTTCGTCGCTGTCATAGTCCCATCTTGAAGGAATGTGGTGAGTCGGCCTACTCGAGTTGCCTTCTGCCGGTTTTATCCTTGAAAGAAGTAGTTAAGTATTTTTTCACCAATTTAGTCATGTTTATTATTCAGTGTAACGTAAATCCGATGAGAGATCACTCTGACCATTCGGAAGAGCCAAAAACGGGCGCCAAAAGAGCTTTGAATGAAATTCGTTTTGCGCAAATCATCAAACCTGTCAATTCGCTGAAGTTTTGAAGGCTCAATAAAGGTTGAAAAATAGACGCAAAAATGCAGCGTACTAGAGCCCTTGTCCACTTTTTTATAAACGGTCAAAGAATTCCTAGAATCTTTTGCCCAACTCTACCAACGCGTTAAAACATAGGAACAATAAAGAAAAAAAAACCAACTTTGACGGCGGCTCTTCGTCCTCATCCCATCTACTATTTCTCTCTCGGCGACCCATCAATCTGAAAAGTTATACGATCAAGTTTCAGAGACAAAAAAAAAATTTAAATGAACGTGAGACGTGGAAAAAAGTTGCGAGAAGAACGCACCACCATTTTTACGTGTAAGAGTTTTCATTAAAAGGTTTTAGGTACTTTTGAGGACATATAATGAATATAGGCCATTCCGCGCTAGCTTGTCACGTTTTTCTTTCCTCCAAAAGGCCAGGTCAAACTTAACCAATTTCACTTCAAGACCTTTGTTTCGTGCCGTTATAAAAGCAGAAATTTGATCTAATTTGGTGTACGGTCTTTTTGGCGGAGAGAAAAACGTGACAAGCTGGCGCGGAATGGCCTATACCAATTGTTTAAAAATGCTTATAATAAAAAGCAATGAAAAAAATTTTTTTAACTACCTAGAAGATAATAAGACAAAACTAAAGCAAAATAAATATTCTCATTGTGGTGAAAAACATTTCAGGATAGTTTTAAATGAACCCTAAAGATCAACTAAAAACTTCTATACTGCACGTTGAAAGGCTTCAGCTTGCAAAACGCGTTGACTGATATTTGAGTCAATACAGATAAAATAATAACTCGAAATACTTTTTTTAATAGGAACTTTTTCATTATTACAAACGCTGAACGTGACGACACTCAAAAAATATTTTCAATCGATTTGAATATTAGTAACGCAAACTGTAAACGTCCAGGGCGTTCCTGAGTCCTTAAGTTCAACTGCGTCAAGGCAATTTAGTGATAACTAACGAGGCTTAGAAAAGTTCGTACATTTACATTTTGCTTTAGTCGTGTCTGAGAAAAAAAAAAAGATATCTTTCCAAGTCACCAATGGAGCGCATAAGATCATATTCAAGAGTCATTTCGGACAAGCTTTATTCCAAATTAAAAAAA